ATTACTCCCAATTTTATCAGCTATAAAGCATACTTGTTTTTTGTATATGATAATATGCACAATAAAATTTATATGAGTTAATGGATTAAATATATTTTGAGGAACATTTTACTGACTATTGTACATATACAGTGTGCGCGTCCATAGTCTTTGTCAACTATAAATTATTTAATGAAAATTGTGCTTTATTCCCACTAAGTGGAGTAGTTTACAAGTTTTTAATTAATAAACTAAGGCCTTTGTCTATTGTTTTGTGATGTTCTAATGACGTAATTATTTAATATGGAAGACGGACGCTGTTTTATAACATTAATTTTAATTGGATCACATGGCAAGTAATATCTTATTTTAAAAGTTTTTGTTTAAAAAGTTTAAAACATATGGACCATTATTATTAATTTGATATTATCTTTCGTTTATAAAATACGCTCTCTAAATTAAGAATTCTAGTTTCTCACATTCCGATAGCCATAATTTGGTATATGCATAGCATATATTTTATAAGTTGTTTATGAAGATAATAACTAATAGGTTGACATCAAAACTAGACTTCTATCAACCTTGCGAGCAAGCTGGATTTAGAGCTGGATACGGAACAAATGATCATTTACAAACCATTAAGTCGTTGATTGAAAAAACCATTGTATTTAATAGACCCCTGATACTTGTCTTTGTCGAGTTTGAAAAAGCATTTGATACGGTCAATCAAAGTGAAATGCTCCAAGCTCTAACACAATGTAGAATAGATCACCGATACATATCTCTCATCAGATACATCTATCAACATGCTACAGCCTGTGTAAGACTTAATAAAGATACTGGGACTTTTCGTATTGAAAGAGGCGTTCGGCAAGGAGACAACATGTCTCCTAAATTATTTACAACTTTGCTAGAATACGCTTGAAAAACAATAGATTGAAACGAAAAGGGCATCAATGTAGATGGAAAATTTTTAAATAACCTTAAATTTGCAGATGATATCGTTATTATTGCAGACAGCTTTGATCAGGCACAGATAATGCTCCAAGAACTCCATACTGCCACAAAGAGAGTTGGTCTTAAAATAAATTTTTCAAAAACACAATTTATGACAAATTTAGTCCACAACAAAAACATCTCAATAGACGACAAAGACATTGAGCCAGTTGACTCCTATAAATACTTGGGCCATGAGATCAGAATAAGTCGAGACAACCAAACAATCGAGCTGAAAAGAAGAATAAACCTCGCTTGGGCTGCATTTGGAAGGATGAAGGATATTTTTAGGTCCAAGATTCCAATGTGTCTGAAAAGAAAAGTATTTAATCAATGTATGTTGCCAGTGATGACCTACGATGCAGAAAACGCTAACGCTCACAAGAACAACAGTGAGTAAACTACAAGTTGCAGAAAGAGCAATGGAGAGAATTATGTTAGGGATTTCTCTACGTGATAGAATACCCAATGCTACTATACGCAAAAGATCAGGAGTAGCAGACATTATTGAAAGGATAACACTAAAGTGGAATTGGGTAAATCATGTAGCAAGATCAATTGATGACCGGTGGACAAAAAAAATTTTGGAATGGAGACCCCGAATACAAGCTTACACAAATAGAGGTCGACCCCTAACGAGATGGACAGATGACATAAAAAGAGTGACTACAAATTGGATTCAGATGGCGCAAAATCGGACTAAGTGGATAAGCATGCGAGAGGCCTATGTTCAGCAGTGGACGTTAGATGCTAGTTGATGATGATGATGATGGCATATTATATATAATTTGAAAGCTGTTGTGATACTTAGTGTGATTCTTAAAACAGGAAAGAGTTAGTATTATTCTACTAGAGGTCAGTTTAAAATAATTTTCACAATTTTATAATCTCAATTTTAAAACGAGGTAATAGCATAAAATCTAAATCATACACCTACACTCAGACTGCGTGATAGAGCTTATATTGTAATATTTTGAAAAGATGTGAAAGAAAAATAAATACATTTTAATAAAATATGGAGAATTGAAAACATAAACTGTCCTATTCAAGTGTATTGGTAAAGACTACTCAAATATTTGGAGTAGTGTAAGCTTGCCGGTAATAAGTTCTTTTCAATGTTAGTGGTACCTAAGAGGAAATAAAGCGGCGTTACAGTTTACTCTAGTTTTAGTATTATTGCAATTACACATAAGCTGCTAGCTCAGAATCTCGTTCTACAAGAATTATGACACCTCACTATAACAGAGGTAATAATTTACCTCTGTTATTGATATTTATGAAGATTTTGGAGCTTTAGTACTTAATGATTCTTTTCTACAACTAACTTGGCTAAAACCTTAAGTAAAACAATTAATGAACTGGATTGCGATTTTATTAAAATGAGATTTTATAACAAAAACTTAAAAAATGCGGAATAAATGAACTCATTCTTCTTCAGAGTCACCATGATTAGGTTCCGGTAAACCATCTGAGACTGTTGTTTCAACTGAAGATAAGTTTGTATACTAGACAGCTACTTCTTCTGGTATGTGTCCTGATGTAACTAATTTTAAAAGATCAGATTTTTTCTTACTTGAAATTGATAAAAGTTGCTGACATAATGATTTCAGTTTAACTGGTAATCTCATCCAGAGATATTTACTGTTTTATAATCGATTGCATGGCCATATCTGTAAAAGAATGCTTTGGGATTTTCCTTCTGAAACCTCAAGCATTTTATATTTAACCATGAAACTGTTTCCTCATTCTCATCTTTATTACTGTATTTAATAATATTTGATATAACTCTTGCCGGTTTAAATAGTCTGTATATTTAAGGATATGTACCTCATATTCACCTTTTTTTATTTTTGGGTTAAGGAAAGGGTAGGATTTGAATATTTTCGCTTAATCGTGTATGGCAAAGGCAGTCTCATATTTTTTTGCCGACTCCATTGCTGAATGCATGGTGTCGCATTCCATATGACAATGCCCTGACTCCAAAACTTTTATCTCGATTATCTTCAGGTTTGAAATAATTTGTACAGCATACAACAATACCGCAGCAATATTTTAGTTTCGATTTTGCTTTTCGCATGTATCACAAAAGAGATAAATATGATTAACTACGGAAGGGAGTGATTTCATTACTTCCCCGCTTCCCATTCAGCTCAATCCAGGTGAAGCAATGTGCTGTCTTCCTATAACCAACATAAATATGAGTTATGTACACAATTTTTTCTGGAATAATGGACACAGAATAGATACGGAATACAGAAATACCAGAGGCAGGTAATTGCAAGAAACTTTGCAGGTCAAAGGAACACATAGTAAATATAGGGTTGTTTTTACAGCGTATCTTGTCATGTCTCTTTTCTTCGATATACTTATTCTTCCTCATTAAATTAAAAGTACATTAAGCTTCTAGTTCATGTTTTTTAGTAGGCGAAGTTTGTTAAATATTTGATGCAAATTGCACAGATATCCTTTTTTGGTTTGAAGAAAAAGTTGCAAAATATTCCACGATAAGTTTTTTCACTGACTGGATTATCTAAGTTATTGTTTTTACAAAAATCATTCTTGCGGAGTTTATACATCTTATAAATTGACAACCTGCTATCTAAGTAGAGTTTTTTAGTTAATTTACAAACATATTGTGACTCTATTTCTGGAAATTGTGTAATGTGTTTTTTTGCCATAGTAATTTGATTTTCTGTACTTTTGTTTGCAGGAGCTTATTTGCCTCTTTTCTCTGTTCCCAAAAATTATCCAACAGCACTATCGTTTTTTATTGCGGTGTTAACAGCGCCATTTAAAATACAAGGTGATTTCTTATAAAATTTTGAACACACTCTGTATCTACCCCCATCATTTTCCAAAAAATAAAATTTTAAGATACTTCGGGCATTGCTGTTTCCTGCTACTTTTCTGCATTTAGGTTCCAGTCATGTTACGTATTTTAAAATAAAGTCTTTTTACCTAAGAAAATTACCCAGTCCCCATACGTTTTACAAATAGATTGTTTGTCCTGTAACTGTAAAACTGGAAGTGCATTTAAACCTACAACTACTGCAATCAACTTGCTTAGAAAACTTTGCAAGGCATTCTTTTTTTGTTGGTTTTTATACGAGAGACAATTAGCTCGCTTTTCATTCGTAATACTAACTTCCCAGTTTTTTGGTTCGTTGGTTCTATACCTTGTCAACTTTTACGTTTCTGGAATTTCATAATCCGAAAAAACAGTACTATCAGAGCGTCCTCCTCTTGAAATGTTGGGTCTTTATCAGAATGTCCTGAAAAGTCAGCTTCACTATCTGTTTTACAATTATAGTCTTCTACTGTCTAGTCCATTTTACTGAACTTCGTAATTTTTTTTATCGTAACGATTTTTACATACATAAATAAATAAAGCGTAAGTACTTTTCGTAGTCACAACTAAATTAAAGGATGGAATTAAATTAACATTAAAATAGGCATAAAGAAAAATATTTTTTACAAAGATATACATATTGCGTAGCATAAACCTATAAAAGAAGAAGAAATAAAGCACAGATTCTACTATTTTAGCAACCTTCCTGAGCATACACATAACAGGTGTATTGCAAAATATTTATTTAAGCCAGTTTTGGACTTTATTCAAAAGGAAAACAATGTTCAAATCATTTATTTACTAATTTAGTACAATTCAATAGACTATTTTTATACCAATTTGTGGGTCTTACTTTGTCTGCTTATACAGTTTATTCATATTAAAAAACACAGACATGTAATATTGGCATAATTACTGTAATTTTATATTATTTTATCTATGTTTATCTTTATGCAGCACCTTAATATGGGCTTTTATAATTTAAGTATTTAACTAACTTTGTACCGACTGACCTGAAGATGCTTTGAAAATTGTAGAAAGCGAAACCGGTCGTCTAGGTAGTTAAATTAAACTGATTGTGAGTAAGTCTTATTTATTTCTTTTTAACCTATTTGAAAACAATATGATTATAAAATATCACTCACTTTATGTTGCTGTTTTGTTTCAAATAAATCACCTGTTGCTTTCAGTACTGATACCGGCTGATCAACGGACTGTTGTGCACTTTCGTTATTCTAAAAATATTTAAAATACAATAACTCACCAGTCAACATAACCTCAAACACTTACTTCGATTTGCATGTTTTCTTCAGGTCAGTAATATTAAGTACAACATCCTTAATATAACTCTAGTAATATTTCACAAACAATATTAAAAAACTTTAACAAACCGTGTTTCTATTTTGCAATTGATTTTATGATAGCTCATTAACTGTCATGCCGTAACTGACTTTACTGAAAGCTCTCAGTGTTTCGTTGTATGTCCGTTTTTAAGTTGAAACAGATATCATTTTATATTTGTCAAAGAAATTTGACGACATTATTCCAAACTAAACGGAAATGGAAAACTCCAATATTTCAAGAGCCAAATTTGTCAGTTTGCTATTTATCACTTTCAGATTTTATTGCTCTCCTGTCAGTTGTGTGAAAAATGTTAACGCCGAAATGATTGAAACAAGTTGAATATAAAGTTTTAATTGATGTTTTGAAAGTTGGGTATATTAATTGAACCAAGTTTATTTGTTTTTTAAAGTTTAAAGTGTATAATATGTTATGGAATGGTTTCATAATTTTTTTTATTTAAACAAATAAAGTGGCATTAACTGCTAGCGGTGGGACATACTCAACAGAATATACGTTATACAAAAAATATACAGTTCAAATTTGGTATATAATTTGTTTGCGTTAAGAAAAGGAGATAGAAGTAGAAGAATATATGGTTTTAAGATATTAAAAGAGGAAATTAAAATGGCATTAAAAAACAGCAAAAATGGTAAAGCAGTAGGTCCAGACCAAATCCCTATCGAAATCTTAAAATGCATAAATGACGAAACCTTATATAGACATTATAGTAGACTTATTTAACTCAGTATACAAAACAGGACACATATCGAAACAATGTTTACTCTTCATCTTTTGTGCTATCCCTAAAAATACAAACACTAAATATGCAGTGAATACAGAACAATGTCATTATAAGTCACATTCTCTAATTATTCTTGAAAATAATACATGGTCGTATAAATAAAAAACTGGAAGAAAAAATAGATGATAGTCAGTTTGGGTTCAGAAACGGACTAGGAACTAGAGAAGCGTTATTTGCTTTTAATGTGTTAGCTCAAAGATGCATAAATATGAATGTTGATGTGCATGTTTGTTCCGTTGACTTTGAAAAAACATTTGACATAGTAAGACATGAAAAATTAGTCCAAATTCTAAAGATAAAAAACATAGACTATAGGGCTTACGAATAATAACAAACCTCTACTGGAACTAAAGAGCACAAATCTTAATAGATAACGAACCCAGTCCAGAGATTGAATTCAGTAGAGGCGTCAGGCAGGGATGTATTATGTCCCCATTATTATTTAATGTATATAGTGAAGCCATTTTTGAAGAAGCATTACTATCTCAAATGTACTCAAATGTATCATATTAGAAATGAAAAAGAAAGCTACGAGAATGGAAATTCTGAAGGCTGCTGAAAACCTAAGAGCAACTAAAATATATATCAATGAGGACTTCCCGAAGAAAATACTACAAGAAAGATAGCATCTTCTCCAGCACATGAAAACGGTACGCCAAGAAAGACACACAGCCGCAGTAAAATACAACAAATTATAAATAAATGGTGAACCGTTCTCACTGGAGCAACTAGAAGGCATAGATGTAAATTACTGGAAGAAACCTGAAGAGAAGAAGGGTAACGCTAGGACAATAAACGACAGATCTCCCATATCTGATAATATAGATCCAAGAGGTAAATTGATGAAAATGGCGTCAAATTACTAACAAAAAATATAACAAAAGACGGCGACAGTATAACGGAGTTGGCAATGAATACGGACATGAAACTGTTTTGTAAGAAAAGACGCAAAAACAAAACAAAACAAAATAAAGCAAAAAACAAAAATAGAAAATAAGAATAGCAACGTGGAATATCAAAACACTTCTAAGACCAGGCAAAATGGAAGAGTTGGCAAAAGAAATGATAAAATAAAAGATGGGAATACTAGCGCTACAAGAAATAAGGTGGGCGGGAGAAGGGATGATTGCTAGAAGAAATTACCAATGTACTACGCAGGAGAAAGCAAACAGGGGCGCAATGGAACTGCCTTACTAGTTAGTAAAAGCGTAAGAGATAAGATTATTAACTTTAAAGCGGTTGATGGAAGAATATCATATATTACAATAAAAAATAAACAAGCAAATTTAACATTTGTTAACATATATGCCCCTACTGAGAATGCTCCTGAAGAAGAAAAGAATGAATTTTGAAATGAATTTGAAAGAAAGAAAAACTACTAGTCCTAAAACCATCGAACATAGATAAAATATGGGAAGACAGAAAAGATAGTATCTTAACAACAGCAGAAGAGACGATAGGACTAATGGCAGACAATAAAAGAAATGATTGGTACGATGAAGAATGCGAGCAAGCTAGTAAAGACAAGGACAAAGCAAGACACAGGTGGGTGGCCACAGGGAAACAAGAAGAGCTGCTACACTATAAAGAGAAGAAGAAAGAGTCAGACAAATGCTGCAAAATAAAAAAGAAGAAATGAATTAAAGAAATACTGCAGGAACTCGAAGCCAATAGTAATGACAATGCAAGACTATACAAATACATAAAATCACAGAGAAAAAAAGAGATACCAGCAAATATTGGAAAAATAGAATGGGAAACACACTATGGAGAAACGTTTAAAAAGAAAGATGATGCTGAAAACGCAGAAAATGAAGAACAAACAGAAAATAGGAATGGAGAACAATCAGAGCCTCCCTCATACAGCGAAGTATTGGCGACCATAAACAGATAAAAGACAAGGAAAGCAGCAGGACCAGACGACATTATAAATTATTTCTTTAAGAAAGGGGGAGAGAAACTAGCCCACAGAATCCACAAAGTAATAGAATGAATATGGGAAGAAGAACGCATGCCGAACGACTGGAATTGTGGTCTGATAACACCGATCCCTAAAAAAGGCGACAAGACGAAATGCACTAACTACAGGGGAATCACGTTATTAAATACAATGTACAAAATATTAAATAATTTGACCAGACAAAGAACAGAAAAAGAAACTAGAACAAAAATAGGTGAATACCAACATAGATTCAGAGAAGGTAAGTCAACAATAGATGTAATACACATTGTAACGCAAATCGTCGAAAAAAGTTACGAGCACGAAATAGATCTACAGACACTGTTTGTTGACTACAAGCATGCTTTTGACAGTGTAATAAGGGAGGAGCTAATTAAGAATATGAATAAATTAGGCATCCAAGAAAAACTAATAAGTCTCACGAAAATGACGATGAAGGAATCCAAAGCACGAATCTTAACAAGGAAAGGCCCGTCAGATGAAGTACAAATGGAGGTAGGTGTCAGACAGGGAGACTCCCTGTCAATAGCATTATTTAACATTGCCATAGAGGGGGCAGTAAGAGCAGCCAAAATTATGGGAACGATTATCGAATCTTCAGCCCAACTGATAGCGTATGCAGATGATATTGCACTGGTTACTAGAGATTTAAAAACCATGCAGAACATAATATTAATACCAGATAAATAAGCAAAGAAGAGAGGGCTAGTAATAAACCAAAGCAAAACGAAATACCTCAAGTGTTCAGAGAGAATACGAACATAGAGAAAGAAATTAAGCTTGGTGCATATACATTTGAAAAAGTACACCGTTTCAAATACCTGGGAGTGATGGTGAATGACAGAAATGATACAACGGATGAAATAAAGGCCTTTTGTATAAGGCCTATATTTACAGCTCTCCTACAGCTGTTCACTACAGGTCCAGCTGATTTATATTTCTTAATTTTTTATAAACAACTTTCTCTTGAATAAATAGGTAGACTAATAAAAGTACTAACTACCAAAATTAAGTCTGCTATTATTTTTTTTGATATGTTAAGAATTACCAAAGAAAGATTTAATTTCATATTTTTTTTGTTTTGAAATTAAAATAAATAATAATAACAAACAAGTTGATTTTGGTATTTACCTTATATAGATATGGATAAAGAGACAAACTATATTATAGAATATATTTTTTTAACGTCAAACGTCATAATTCTTTTAATTTTCCCAAGAATTTGTAAATAACTTTTAATCATCCAAAAAACCTTTTAGCTAAGCTCCAAGCCTGACTTTACACAGAAGTTATACCCATTAGTCAAATTTAGCTAATATTTCACTAATGATTACACCAGAAACGCAATTGTGAAAGGATGACCCTTTTACCGCGTAAAAACCGCAGGCCCCTTATTATTTTGATCCATCGGCTGTTTCTCGGTAGTTAACTCAATCAGCGATTTATTACGTTATGGTTTTAATGGCAAAACCTCGCGTGGGCATCAGATTGAAAACGTTGGCTATTATACAGCTATAAAGCATATAGGATTTTCCAACCGTAAATATTCCAGTACGATAATAAAAATGCTGTCAAAGCAAAGTCATGTTTGCAAACGGAAATGTTCATTTACTTTGCACCATATCAATTAAATATCAATTTCCCTGCCTTTATGCCAACGGAGTGGTCATATAAAAATTATTTCAATATTAACACCCGTTTTATAGCGTTCCAAAAAGTTACCAATATCGTCACGCTTGACAAAAGAGATCCAATACATGGAAAATGAATAATTTTGAACAAAGTCAATGTCTCATGTGATGTGTGCGAAACATTACACGCACTATTAAACAAATTGATAGCCATCTCCTTTAAAGTAGGAGATTATCGCAGCAAATTTATATTATAGATTCATCCGTTTTTCTTGGTCTATTTTTAAATATTTCTTCTTGTTAGTATTCTCGCAGTACTATAATCCGGGGTGTGTCTTAGATGGCTGTACAACTATCTCATTCAGTTGTAGTAGTCCACGATAGTTGAGTCGGTCCACATTGTTCTTTATTATGACCCTAGTTATCTCTTTACCACATTTTTGGGCTTTCTGTCAAAGCTTCCTTCCAGATTAACTTGGCAAGGTAATTATTAGGGAGCCTATAAACACGGCGTTTTAGGCGCTGTAATTTATTTTTTGGACAAAATCACTAGCGTTACATATGT